AAACTTGAATAAAAACATAATTCCCGAATTTTCCCGATTTTGACTTTTTTATTCCCGAATTTGGATGTTTTTACTCCCGGAAAATCGAAGCTTTAATTATAGGATATTGATCTCGCACTACAAGCTATGTCGATTGAACGTATATGGTTTGATATATCAAATCTCCAATGGTTTCGGCATGATCATAATATGGCATTTCTCAGCGGTAAATATATTGATAAACCAGATTTATCAAATATTATTAACCAATTCACCATGCATCATTGGCTGTTAATTTTATCATCATTAATTTTAATATCATTTGTTGAATACTCGAGGACTTATTTAATACGTTAGTAATAAATAAATAAAACATTATATTAATTATTTAAAAAGATCAATTATATATAAAAATATTTTTATTTAGAGACATGCAAACTAACAAATATTACCGAGATAATACTCAACACTATTAGACCACTCTTAAATCAGGCGATAAACAAAAATCAAAACATTTTAAAAAATATGTGGGATTTTGCAACACTAATTTTGACCTTCATGTTTAGCGCAGGTATATTATCGTCACTGTTAACCCAACCATGGCAATTTATTAATTCAATAGACGACCTACTTGAAACAAATACTACAATAATTATGGTAAATAATACAAAAATATGGTATGTCTATGGTGCCATAATTAACCATGAAAGTGGCTATGAAAGTGAACATGACAAAAAACTATATAGATTATTTACAACAAGAAAAGTAATATTTATAAATGAAAACTCACCGCACGATGCAGATGTAATTGTTATATGTTATTAAAACAATCTAGTTTAAACAATTAGAATATAAATCATGTAATTAATTAATTATTACCATGTTTAGAAATTATTTGGTGCGGTCGAGAATCGGGAAATAGTTTACATAAGAGAAGGCTCTAATGTATTGAAGAGACTGTTAACACACATTGGCTTAAAGCTGGAGATCGGGTCCGAAAAGTATTTGCCGTCATATAAGGGACACCCCATTAGGAAATGTACCACAAATTGTTTGAATGATAAACACAAACATAAAAGACATTTAGTGTTTAAAATCATTCAAATTATGATTGAGTCGGGTATTAATATTGATTGTGAAAATCGTATTCAAACTAGTATTACATTTAATGGATTACGGAATTTGCAAAAGCAGCTTGATGATAATTCCAATCATTATAATAAACAAGTGTTTATAAATAATTTAAATGCTAAGCAAAATAGTATAGACGATAAATCTATTGAGTTGCATTTTATGGTCGATATATTTATTGTGTTTTTTGTATTAATTGCATTAACTGTTGTTGTATTTGTCGGCGAATTAATTGTTGCAATATATTTATTTTATTGATTATTTATTGTTTATTTATAAATGAATTATGGTTTAAAAATTTATAATCCTTATGTATTAAATAACAAAAACAAGAATATAAAAAATTATTATAAATATTGTAAGTTATTTATTGCATGCTTCTTTTAGTCCATTCATATGAATTTTTACTATTATTACAATGACATTTTAATTTTGTAAATTAAAAACAATAATCAAATATTTATACGAAATTTTTGACCACTTATTTATTGGCATAAATAATAAATACATAAATTTATAAATCAATATTGTTTATACCATAAATACAAAAAAATAATAATGTACAATTGTATTATTGAAAACAATTTATAATTAATGATAAACAAAACATTATTATTCTGATACTGTATTAAATAATATAAAATTTTGTGTTAATTTATTGTAACAACATTAATTAAGACAAAGTGCATAACAATTAATAAATACATTTATGTTGCCGAATGTACCTATTACCTATTGACCAATCTAGGTCATTAATGTTTCTATTAACTCACAACTATCATGTTGTAATTACATTGTTTCGATAAATTGTCACATCGATTATATAATTATTTAGTTACATTGGTTACACCTTGCATGTAAATAAAAATATAAAATTATTGTATTGTATTGTACTATTGTAAAAATAAAATAATTAATATCACAATTATTACAAGAGTCAATGTTTTTAATAATGCATTTAAAAGAAATTTTATCATGTGTTTTAATGTAATTTAAAATTTTAACAATCGCTATGAATCAGTACGATATAAACCGGTGTAAAGATTATTCCATAGGGGACTCATTATTAGGTAATCCCAATAGTAACCAATCGCTGCTTATTATTGTCTATGGAGAGGTATTGTGACATTTAAATTGATGTATTTTGCATTAAATTATTTTATGATAATATGCATGTAATTAAAATTGTATATTATTTAATTTAATTTTTAATTTTAAGAGTGTATGCAAATTTGAGCAACAAATACTCGAGGTCTTATCTGCTGGTATTTACGCTACGTTTAATATTACTTTAAGAATGTCTAAAAAATATGTACATATACACAAGCATATGTCAGAAAACATGGTTGGTAGGGATAAATAATTAATTATTGTTCTATCTGAATATTATATAATAATTATAGGAGATTGATCTTGGATTACAAGCCATGACAATTAATCAGGCATGGTGCAGCATATCAAATCTCCAATGGTTTAGGCATGATCATAATTTGGCATTTCTCAGCGGCAAATATATTGAAAAACCAGATTTGTCAAATATTATCCATCAATTCACCATGCATCATTGGCTGCTTATTTTAGCATCATTAATTTTAATATCATTCGTTGAATGTTTAAGAGATTATTTAATTTGTTCGTATGCAGCCAATTAATCAATTAATTAATTTTAATTAAAATTCATTTTTAGATACATGGAACATAATAGATATCACCGGGATAATTATTAACACTTTAAGACCTTTATTAAATCAGGCGTTAAATAAAAACCACTGGGTTTTGGGAACCATGTGGTGTTTCGCAACACTTATATTAACCTTCATGTTTAGCGCGGGTATACTATCAGCCATGATAGACCAACCATGGCAGTATATTGACTCAATGGATGATCTGTTCAAAACAAATACGACCATAATCATACCGAACAATACAAGAATATGGAATGTATATGGTAGAATAATTAATAGGGAGATTCATGAACGTAACGACATACTATATAAATTATTTACAACAAGGCGGGTGTTATTTATTAATGAAAACGCACCGCACGATAAACATGTATGATTAATCATTAAGCTATTTTAATAGTAGAATTGCAAGCAATTAAATTACTAATTGTTATAATATGCAAATATGCAGATTTTATAATATTATTATAATTTTGATAATCATGGTACTTTATATGACAATTGTTTTATTATTAGGAATTGTTTCGTTCTGTCGAGAATCGGGAAATGGTTTATTTTAGAGAAAGTTCGTATGTACTAAACAGACTGTTAAAACATATTGGTTTAAAGCTGGCGATTGCCACTGAAAAGTATTTGCCTGCATATAAGGGACACCCCATTAATAAATGCACCAAAAATTGTTTGAATTATAAACACAAACATAAGAGACATTTAGTGTTTAAAATAATACAGATTATGGTTGAGTCGGGAATTAATATTGATTGCGAAAATCGGTTAATAATTAGCGATACTTTTAGTGGATTACGAACTTTGCAAAAGCAAATTGATGCTAATCATAATTATCAAGATGTGTTTATTAATGATATAAATGCTAAACAAAATACTGTTGATGATAAATCTATTGAGTTGTATTTTATGGTCGATATATTCATCGTGTTTTTTGCATTCATTGGGTTTATTGTTATTGTATTTGTTGTGGAATTGATTGCTAAAAATATATCTAATTATATGTGTATTGTTAAAAGAAATTATAATGTTTTATATCAATAAATTTATAAACTAGTTAATAAACAAGGTTCACACAGCGATGCTATACGTTAACCACTATTTGGGAAATTCATCAATGATTTTAAATTTTTCAGTACTATTGTTAGAATACTCTCACTATTATTATTTTGAGAATTTTAATGTTTTTGACAACAATTAGTTCGATTTATTATATCAAATTTAGCCAGAAACTTAGTATTGCTCATATTATTCCTATGCCATAGACTTAGCATTGCCCATGTTATCCCTATGTCATAGACTTAAGCTGTAATGTCATGTTAAATCCCATAGGGTGGGAGCGGAGGGGGGAGGGGGGCCGCACGATCCTATAAACCACATTATTCATACTGAATTGTGGTTAAAAAATTGTAATTATGAATATTTAATTATCGATGTTCTCCATCTCGCCAATACTTATTTTTAAATTTTATTCTGCCTAATAAAATAATTAAAATGTTGTTATATTACAGTCTTCAGTACGATTTAATAAATTAGAATAAACTGAATCACATGTATAATTCAAATAAATTTTATTTATTAATGATAATTCGTATACATGTATTCATTGTATAATATTTAATTTATAAACTAGAACAGATTTTTAAATTAATTTTTACCCGTTTTATAGACTTTACAATTTTGCTAATCCAAGCAATGATTTAAGGATTTGCAGTCCGGCCTCAGGCTTATCGGTGGGCACCATATGTCCGGCCCCTCTAACCAACACAAAACTCAATCCCTTTTCGTAGTTCTGTATAAAACCTCCGATCACTCCATCACTGGTTCCGTCGACTGTCCACTCCCTGTCCCACACAAACAATACATACAATTATAGTAATGTTTACAAAACATATCATTAATGCAATACTAAAGTCATGGCATACCTGTAATGACCGGCCTTTTGAAAGCCTAGACTCGAGACAAACCGTTGATTTGAAATGAAATTACAAATTGAATCGAAGTCTCCGTTATATACAATCAGTTTTGGTATTTTATATGTATTTATCAATTGCTTAACAATGTCTGCTTGCGGTGTATTTAAGTGTTGCCAATCGTAGTCAGTGCCCACTTGTGCCCACTTTTTACTGCCCGGCCGTACGTGTAGTG